CGACTGAGGATGCCTGGCTGCCTCTCTATCAGCAGGACATCATCAAGAGAGATTATTGGGGCAACCTCTGTGACCCTATTGTGGCTTTAAGTTCCCCTTTGAAGACGGGTATTTAGCATCATACTTCCTACTGAGGCAGCTAATTCACAAAGTAACACGGCTAAATGTAGCCCTCGTTTTCAGAGAAAAGTTTAATTAATCAAAGTGTGGCTTTATGAAGTGACATTAATCCGACACTCTTTGAAGGTTTTTTCTACTTTTTTTTATATTTAGCTTCTAAATATATTGACTACTAGGTTGTCATGATAGCAGAATTTGAAACTTCGATGTGGTACGAGTAAAAATGAATATGGATACATGTTTCAATTCCACGGCAATAAAAATCAAAGTCCTATAGGCACCAAATAAAGGGACATTTCATGTTTTCAAGTTATGATGATGGATTTCTGATTTGGATGAATTAATCGTTAAACTGGTTTGATTTACTCAATTAAAGAATGGCTTTGTTCCACACATGAAGCCACTTATGACCTATTTACAACTGTAAACTGTGTTACTCATGCAGAATTCCCTTCCCATAAAGTCCAGTGGGTAGGGTCATTTTAGGGTCTCTGAAGCCCACCAGAGAGAGGGACCACTTCTCAGATACTACATCTCTGTGGAGATGCCCTCACTGACAGAGGAGACATTGATGTCTGGAACAGAGGTGTTACATCAAGACTTCGGTAAACACAAGCCTGACTTTCTCACAGTCCCATTTGTGTACCGAGCTGACGGGCCCCCAGTTGAACAGGAAGGGCCTTTTCTGTGTGTGGTCAATAAACCAAAAGTTTGTCAAACACAAAGCTGCTCCAAATGAGGGCTTCACGCAGGCTTACGGGCGCAGTTTGGGACGGAGTGAGTGCCGTCAGTTCATAACAGCTTAGTTTGAAATCCAAGGCTGAATTCATCCCCTCAATCTTCAGCAAATAAGTCAACATTTGATACAGCTGAGATTTATTTATTATTGTTTGTGTTGAAGTTAAATGTTGATTTTGAGATCAGAATTGACCAACGAGAAAACCAAAGTCCAGTTAAGTCAACGGACAGACAAGTCAGCATCACTGCTGCTTTACAAGATGTCTCAAACATGGAGCAGACCAGGTAACCAACAACTTCAAATCCTCGCAGATTCAAATTCTAAAATTGAAGTTTGCTTCAACAACCATGGAGTGTGTGTCTGGCAAAGTACTGTGGGAGTTGTAGTTTAAAAACACACTTCATGCTTCAAACTGTTATTTTGACTTCATCATTTTCAACCACACGGAAAGTCATGAAGTTCCTGAGTCTTGCAACGTTTTAAGGGGCTGTGATTCAGATTGTAAAGGAGGTTTTCTAGGAAATTGCCTGGATTTTTTATTGTTTTTCAAAGAACAAGCCATTTCAGTTTTAGATGCAAGACGTTAGTGAGGGGTGTACAATAGTTTGATGGAAATCCCCTCGTAGTCTAAATCAGGACTAACACAGATATCTATTGCAAACAGAAAAAGGCACGAGCTCTGAGAGAGCACTTTGATCTTTGCTGCTCTAAGAGCGGCTGTCTTCCACTTGTGTTTAGTGCAACAGATGTTTAGGAAACTCTAGATAGTGTACACTGAGGAGGGACTAGATCTCAGTCTGTTTAATGTTGAGTGTTTCACTTCACAGTGTTAAAAACACACAGGAAACACAGCTTCAGCAACTGGTGCAAAATGAAAAGTAAAAAAAATGATGATCAAAGGGATTACTTTGATTAATTACGATCAGTGTTTAGATGTTTGCAGAGATACCAATCAGCCGTTGTGGTCGTGGGAAACCAGGCTCATCAAAACAGTTTAAAATCCAATTGAGAAAAGACAAAAGTGTCCGTCAGCACACAGCTCTACCTGCCCCTGAGGGCGCACAATAGCGGCCCCCCAAAGCTTCCCTCTGCTTAAGGCTGACTTCCCACGGACTAAAAGCTCATTCAAAGCTGCATTTAATAAGCGCCCGGAAACAGTGATTACCCCTCCTAGTTCACCGGTGTGTCTAAATTAGAAACCTTCATTAGTTTATGACCCAGCCCTAGAGACCCGGCCCTGCCCCCCGTCCCAGCACCGAGCAAGGTGACCCAACCTCCCTGCCCCTGCTGTCATAAATCAAAGGCCACGGCAAACTGCTGGAAGAAAGAAGAGGAAGGGTCAACAGACTCTGTTGACTTTCTCCCAGTCCTCTCATAGCCTAAGCTTTTTGTTTTTTTTAACGCAACAACTTAAAGAAAATAGATACGTTTTGCAAGTGAAAAGCCCATTTTTGACTCGTATCACCATTTGGGCTTCAACTATTAAATACTTCCACTTACTATGAAACTTATTAGTAAACTTGTTCATTTATAATAAATGTTTCATCACAATTTTTGATCAGTTTGTATCCCAAAATAAAAATTGATTACAGCTGAAGTCTCAACATTCGAGAAAGTAAAAGACTTTTTGTGATAATTAACTAAATTGTTTGTATTTTTAAAAGATCTCCTCAAAAGTCAGCACTGTAACAAAAGCACTGGTCGTTTATTTACATGACATTATAACATTTCAGATGAGAAGAACAAGGTGAAACAAAAGAAAGCCGCCGCCTCTGCCGCCATCTTTAAACTTCATGTCAACCATTTGTCTATTTTAGGAAGGCTCACATGAGTCTCAACAGGCCTGTGGTCTGAATAAAGATCACTGTTTCACTGCGGGGACAAAGGGAGGGCCCGGGTTTCTCTTGGCCCCTCTTCTAGTCATCTCCACATGGTTGCCATTTAACTCCATTGACACAAAGGAGGCACCATCACAGCGCCATGGATCCATTCATACCAAACGGAGCCTTGCTTTTTTTTTTTTTTTAAAGGGAGCGGGGCAATCGGCATCTGAGGGCCGCTGTGACTCACTGAGGGACAAATCAGGACAAACTATATGATCCTGAAGTCAACAGAGCGGGGATAGAAATATTCTTCTTGAAGGGGAAAAAAAAAAAACTTTCACCCTGAGCTGATTTATCTTAAAGGACAACAGCAGTCACCTGAGTGAAATGTGAGCTCCCCACTCTCTGCTCTCTCGGCTAGATGGTGACCGAACTCCCCACCCCCACCCGTCCACCCACACACACACTCTTTCGCTCTGCCTCACTCCTCCTGCAACACATCTCGCTCAGACTACTCCTGTTTATAAATAGGGGAGTGTCTTTGCAGCAGCTCTGCTGAGGCCGGCTGTGCTCCGGATCAAATATCTGCACTTTGATGCTCGCTGTATGAAGATGTCTCCTCGAGCTCACTCGGATACAGAGCCTGTGTTCTACTACTCTGGCTGGATCACATTATTTGAAACACATTGACTCAACTTTTATTCATAGGACACGAGTCTTTATCAGTTTCATTTGTTTGTAGAAAGCAAGGTGTTTTAACATAGACTATTTCAACACATGAGCTTTTAATACGGTTTTCTTTTTTGTATAGAGAAAAGCTGCTCTATTGATATCTGGTTAAACATTTTAACAGATTTATTTTTGCCTTCATTGAGGTCTGCTGTGTTTGATTCACTACAATGCCTTCAGTCTGCACATTTCTTTGGGTTGGGTGGGTTAGGACTTGACTCAAACTGTGCTAAAACTACAACTCCCAAATAATGATTCAGATTGTTGTGCCTCAGTTTGAGTCTCATCCCACAGAAATAATTGCCTTATCCTAACAGCCTGTATGGTGCAACAAACATTTCAACTAGAAGTTACATGAGGTAACAGCTAAGTTTGGACAACCAGATCTAGTTAAGAAAATTGCTTCCTTGTGTGTCAAGTCATTAGCTCAGTCAGTTTCTAAACAACTGCACTGATCATGGGAGAGAGTCTGTGAGAATGGTGTTTTCTCTGCACCCCCCCCCTCCTCCCTTTTGTACAACTTTAGGACAGCCTCATCAAAATGGACCAGATGTTCTCCAGATGTCAGACCTACAAACATCTGGTCCTGAAAGCTCTTTTTTTGATACAAAGTTAATTGGAGGCTATCATGTTTGTGAGACACCGACTAATATTCTCTAGAAACATGACAACATGTTGCCTTAAATAAAAAACTCTAATTAGACTTTTGATTGCAGATAGCTCGAAACATGAGTGAATGAACATTTAACATGAGCAGATTATCGTAACACAAGTTGTTGACAAGGATGTCACTTTTATGACTAATTCAATGAATCTTCCTCAAAGCTGCTGGGAATGGAATAGATAAGAAATCAAAAGAAAGCCCCCACGATTCCAACAAGTAAACAATAAAGCCAGTGACAGGCCCGAAAAGGCTCAGCTCTACCTGCTACCTACTATTCCAAAGAGCTACTTTGGATCTTCAGCATGGAAGAGATCTGCTGGATGGCAGATGAGTTTTGCAGAGCTGTCTGTCCTTTGCTGTCTGGGGAGCCACAAAGGTCCATTGTTTCTGCTGAAACCTGAGAACCAAGAGAAGGAGCACTACATACAGCAGCAGTCCCTCAAAAGACTTCTCTTGTTTGCAGCGGCCAACAAATTTAATAACCTGTAATTTAACTATTGCAATTGTCTCTTTTCTAGCACATTGACCACCATTGTGCACTGTAGTGTATTTGCTAATTACTGTCAGCATATAGTGTGCACTGGACAGAGCCGTAGGTTGAATCTGCGTCCCGTCTAAAGACCCCTTCTCTGGCGTCTTGGCCATTAATGAAGAGTACAATTTCACCCTTTCCTCTTTAAATTAAAAATCAGAATGACAGAAGAATACTCTTCTACTATTTGTGCATACAATGTATTCTAGTGAACACATTTTTTTTTTGTCTAATGTACATCCCGGCCCCTTGGACTACAACTGTTGAACTGACTATCACACTTCTTCTGAATCCATCCTTTCATTTGCAAAAGCAAACCCATGCTGCAAACTTAACCAGCTGCTTTCAACGGACTTCACAGAGCAAGATGACACTTGTTGCAGGAATACTTACTTGAGAAAGTATCTCTGGCCAGAGGCAGTCTTGGCCATTTCCCACCCGTGAGGCAGGGGCACGTCATCTGGAATCTCATAAGAAGATTGACGGAGATGTTGAGGGGAGGCACCTGCTGGGGGCATGCCAGACAGGGAGCCACCAGAAACGGCTCCTAACTGCAGGGAGGCTGGGGATGAGTGGGCTCGGACGTGGTGGGGTGTGAGTACTCCGCCACTCCCTCCGTCGGTACTGGCCTGTGATGTGGTTAGAGAAGCAAAACATTGTGATTTCCCTTCGGAGGATTCATCTTGTATTGCTTTGAAGAGTCTGTCTGAATGTATCGCCATAAAACATGGACTGCTACAGTAGTAAACTAACTTGACCAAAGTTATTCATCCCCAAGGGGAGGCATTTACTTAAACCAGCAGCTCAAGTGTCAAAGTAAAGGAAATGAGTAATCAGTTTGAGTCATTCATTTAAAAACAAATAACAACAATTATAGGATAAATAAAACAATACTAAAGGTACATTCACTCATCATATGATCAATTCTTGAAAGGACATTACAACAGCTCTGTTGTGTCATTTATTTTAAGTATTTTAATAACTAGAGTATAGAGGAAAAGTACTTTAGAATATAAACTGCACTATTGCTGTAATGCCTACATTGGCCAAACGTTTCAGATTTTTTTTTCACATTTTTTTTGTATGGCTCTAAAAGCATATTTGACTGTTTCTTTTCGTGTGCATTTCTTTGCACGTTTGGGTGTTTAAGTCAGCGGATTGGAGGAACCCAAGGCCTGTGTGTGTGTGTGTGTGTGTGTGTGTGTGTGTGTGTGTGTGTGTGTGTGTGTGTGTGTGTGTGTGTGTGTGTGTGTGTGTGTGACATGGGAGAGTGCAGGCTCGCTGCACAGCAACGCATGCGCAATGCGGAGAAAAACTTCCACAGACCACAAGCAACAGTTGTGGGGGATGTTAGAGGGGAGGAGGGGGGGGAAGGGGTAAATAGGACTAGTTCAACCATCATATGATTTCTGATTTCAAAGTCGCTTCTATAGCAAACAGCTCAAGTTAAAGAAACTCAGTTTGAACATCTCCCCCATGACGCTGAACTTTCTACACCACAGTCATGAAACGAAACAAAACATTTACAGTCTGCAAGTTCACTTTGGACTCAGCCAATTTGACAACTCACTTAAAGTAGCCTATTATCAAACATATTCTGTCAAATGCAGATTTTTTATTTTTTTTTGCAGAATGAAGACCAACTGTTGAGTTAAGACACAAGACTGAAACGATACTTCAGTTATGGATCCTACAACTTTTACGCACAGCCTCCACGGCCCCTTTTTCAAAGGTGTTTTTATTTGTGGCAGTGATGTTAATTTAAATCTTTTACTAACTGGTTGGACATTTTATTCTAAAGTCGTTTATTAGAAACACATTAAAACTTGTGAAAGTGGGTTGGTAATAAACATGTTATAAATTCAAATTACGCACGAAAGTTTTATAGTATGCTGCATTTTAGGGCATGATAACGAACATCCTATCAGTAAACAGTGGCAATATCTTAAAGACTAAAAAATGAGGATAAAATATGATATAAACTGTAGACTGACTTTACAAGTCATGTAGCCTACTGTAGGCCTGATCCCCTTCAGGATGGGCCTTGTGTTAGTCGTGATTTCTGGGAAGGGGCAGGGGAGAGACAGGGCGGGCTTACTTGTCTGGAATGGGACTTTGGTTCAGGAGGTTTGAAGAAGGAGTCTGGCAGTTTCCTCATCCTCATGGGTACGGAAGGGGGTACGATGGTGTTTTTCGGGTTCATCACGGCGTTAAAAAGTGTCTCCAGGTCGGTCTCAGAGTCGCCCCGTACGTGGACGATCTGGTGTCCGGCAGGAGGGTTGTGCTGGCCCTGATCCATTGCAACCAAAAACTGTCGGCAAACTTTACGAGTCCGAAATCGTCTATTAAAAACAACTCACGAAGAGAAGTTTGCGCCAATCCCCAACTTTCTTTTTTTTTTCTCACACAGCAGGAAATCAGGGAATATCGACGACACTCAGAAAAAGTTACCCCGAGTCATTCTAAAGTTGATCAGGATGTGATTTTTCCAATCTTCCAAAGTGTGTTAGCTGTCGAAATCTGCAGTGAAACACAGCGTTTTGCTGTTGTTTTTTGCTGGCATACTTGTCAGTGTAACAAAGCGCATATCTACTCCACACAGGAATCTGTGTTGTCGTCCGGCCCCAACTTTTCCACAAAAAAAAAAAAAAAAAAAAAAAGCAGGGGCAGGGGCAGCCACAAAAGACGAAAAAACAACAAACGCTTCGTTGGAAAAGTCCGACTTTTTTCTGCGTTTCGTCCGAGTTGAAACTGTCAGAGGGGAATCTTCCAGAAAAGGTTCATAGTTCGTGCAACAAATCTCCGCAGCTCACTTTCTAGAAAAAAAAAAACTTTTGCTCCAGTCGGATCTAAACTTTGGGCAGGACATCAAACTTTATGACTCATGGGATGGCTGCTCCAGGGGGGCGGGGCTTCACTCTAATTGGGACGAGAGTGTTTAAAGGTACAGTCAGTGTAGTTCAGGGGGCCCGGGACAGTTCAGGGACCACGAAACTTCTGCACTTTATCAAGTTTTTCCCTTTTATTTAACGTTGAATTAACTTCCATTGGGTCTATGTCAAACAATCTGCTTAGAATAGATTAAATATGATCCAATTAAAAAAAAAAAAAACATTTATCCTGTAACCTGAAAATACAAATTTCACATTGCTAGGCTGTATTTTGTTTAATAACTGAAGGGGCTAAATTCATTCTCATTAATTAGTCAACATAATCATGGACGCACTTGCCTTATTTCTGATTTTTTTTTCTTTGCAGTCTCTTGAACACGAAAAGGACCCCCTGCTGCTCCCTGATTTTCCAGCTGGAGCCCACTTGAGAAAACAATCAATTGTCACTCGCTTGCTGCCCAAAATGTAGAGGTGTGTTAAATAAACAACAAACAGTAAACATACACACCTTCCAGACCGTTTGACTAACAACCCTCATGTTCAGACGGAAAACGTGGATTCTGCCATTTGTTTGGACTATTACAAGTTTGTTTAAATGTGATTATTGAATGAACAAGTGTATGTGCTTTTTTAAGATTATCTGGGTTACATTAGAAGTCGAACAGGCTTTACATTAGCCCAGTTTAACCAGGCTTATTCCTTAAATATGTTCATTATATAACTTAAATCTTTTAGCTTCAAAGTGTTCAGGCCTACTTGTTACATGTGGATGATGAGGCAAAATACATTTTCACAACTCAACGATTTTAACAATTACTCCAAAGCACACTTCTTTCATCACTAAAATGAATGGTACTATTTTTTTCTCTGTCTTTTTTTTTTTTACAGTGCTCATGAAAAGTAGATCCATGCAGTTCCCACAATTGTTATGCAAATGAGGCCCCTCTTCCATTGAGAAATCATTTTGTCAAGATCCACTCTCTTTGGATACAGAGGCTCTGTTTCAACTTTTTTTTTCCCATACATCCAATGAATGAATGATTATGAAGCCCTATTTAATACCCGCAGACACTGTAAGCCTCTATGAACAGATTAAAGCTCTGCCCTCTTCCACTAAATAGACATCATGCTTATGTGTCTCAGCAGATGCATTTCTCAAGTATACTGTGCACACATAAACTGTTGACTGTTTTTTGTTTTTTTGTTTTCTATAATCTCAAAATGTATGCACCCTTGAAACATCCATGATGAGCTCAATAAATTGATGTAAAACCTGCAGCGTGCAACAGGTTCAGTTTGACTTTTGTGGACCTTTATTGTATATCCTTGTCCTGTATCATGGTGATATTTCTATATGTCCTGTATGAATGAATGCATCTCCTGATCAATGAATCTTTCATTCATAGCGCATAAAAGAACCATTTAATTCACACCACAGCTGCCTATTAACTTTTGATCTCTATACTTCATAACTGCGCTACCAGCCCTCATATTTTGATTTATGACTGACATTTTCTCTGCACACATGCTGCCAGTCAAGAGACGTCCATTGTTCTGGTGAAAGTGGTCATTTTCACATCATTGTAACGCACTCAGACACATTGAAGAGATGGACTGCAGTGTCCCGTCAGCCCTGAGGAGGACCACCCACTTGGCAGAGTTTGGTCCCTCTTGGTAAACATCTCTTCATCCCTCGGATTCAGCCTCATTGGGGTTTGGTTCCTCGATTTTTTTGGGGGGGCTCTGTTTCACTGAACCAATCTGAGGCTCTGAAAGACAGAGAGGCTATATGAGTCCTCCCTGTTTAAAACACGTTTGGTCTGGTGTTATTATCGGACATGGTGACGTACGGTGTTGCCACAGAGAGAGGGGCAGATGGGAGCTCGAGTGCCCCCTGCAGCCTTTCAAGGGAACAGAAAGACGACGTGTACAGAACACAATAAACAAACAGGCAAACTATAGTTTTTGTTTATTTGTCCCAATTACTTGCCCGTTTGTCTAAATGAGAAATAAAACATCAAGTACAATGTATATCCAGGGACACTTGTAGTTCTGCTAAGTTTGTGGAGCCTTAATTATTTTTATGTGATTTTGTCATGTACAATTTGTTATTTTTGTGATCTGTTTTTTTTTCATCTATAGCATCTCTGCTCTCAACCTGTTGTTTGCAGAATTTTACATCTGCAGGTATGAAATGTGCATTGAACTGTAACCAGGCAGAAAAACAAACACAACTGTTTTCACAGATTCATTACAGTATAAAGCTTTTTTTTTTCTTTTTTTGTTGTTGCAGTTTTATGAAACATATATGTAACCTCCTATCCAGTAAGCTTTATCTTTATGCATGCTTCCAACTTTTTCTCCAGTTGACCAGAAACAGAGCGAGACCAGACACTCATTCATTGCATGTTAAATGGACTGTAACCAAACATGACAAAATACTTGAGCGACTAAGCCTCACTATGGACCAACAAGCAACAAGCTTGAACTTGTATCTCTGGAAATGTCTTCCCTCTATTTTCAGCTCTCCTACCCTTTCTTGTTGAGTTTCTAGGTGTTGTGCTGTTTAAAGCTTAAATGTCATTAAGCTGCCATGTATTGTCTGATATAATGACTGAAAATTAACGGTAGAAGGCCAAAGGGAACAGATTTCAGAGACATTGTGCAGCAGAGTAAAAGTTTGGTATCTGCTGTGCAGATATAGTACGCACTGATGAACGTGAATCATCTGTTCTTTTATCTGTGCATGTGCATTCAGCTGTACTCACTGATACAAACAGAGGGGATGAGATTGGATGTTTTTTCGACTTTCATTTTTATACTTTTTTTTCTGGAATTGAAAATACAAAGTAGCGATGATGGCAGGTTGCATGGTTGGGCTGATTGTTTCTTCCCAACAGATTTATTGAATACTCTTTAATAAGTTAAATATGAGCATTATAATAAAAAGAAAAGTGTGTTATTCCACTTCAGATACCGAATGCCCAGTGGCTTGAAGTGACACTGACAGACCTCCTCAAATAACCACCGTGGACATCTTTTGTCCTTTTGACTTTATAACTAGTCAGAAGGCCTCTGCTGCTGCTGCTGCAGGCATCCTTATGCACCAAGGCTGAGTTTATTTTCTCTCTTTGTGTCTGCTCTTAGTTCTGGTGTAAAGTAACAAGGAGCTGATACAAGACTCTACATGGCAGTAAGACACCACAGTCTCAGCATTGTTGAAAGCTCCTTTTGAAAAAAACTCCATAATGTATGCATATGGAACCAGAAACCCTGCAGCTAAACCAAATAAAGTGTCATCACAGACCGGAGCCTCGCTCTTCAAATGAGTATGGGCTTCCTCTACTTCTCGGAGCAAGTCCCTGCAGGCTCACTGACTGGGCAGAACCAGACATGTTGATGAGGGAGGGGCAACTCAACTGACAGCAGTAATCTCAGCAGCGTTTGCACCTATTTTCTGGAAAGACAGATGGAGGACCGCTTATAAATAAGTCCTTTATGTGACAAAGAGAAGTAGAGAAGATGCCCTTAAATGAAATAAAAAAAGAGGCTTAACCTTGATCTTAATGTTGCATTACCAAACATAGGACTTAATAATAGGATCTAAAGCAAAAGAGAAAAGTTCAGGATGGATGTCATTGCAACAGAAGGCTGAAGAGGCCCTCTGGCAGAGGCTCACCTTGTTGAGCCAGTAGGTTGAGTCGAGTGCAGAAGACATAATGGTCCTTTCTACAGCCATTAAAGGTAATAAACACACCTTCTCCTTCCGTTGTTACAACACTTTTTTCTAAAAACTAGTTCAGTCCTCTGTCCATCTGTGTATCTGTGAGGAAACCACAAACGCTGCCAAACAAACTGCACTCAGTCAATTCATCTTTACGTCGACAACAACCTTTATTTTTACGCAGCTTGGATATGGTTTGAATAGTTTTAATCAAACTATGATTTAACTTCAGTAAATAAATACAGAATGAAATAGCTTTGGGGGAAAAAAAGTATCTTACACCAGTCTATGGAGTATATATTTCAGTTAGTTCTGGTGTTGGGTCTTTTGTCCTCATTAAGCCAGCATCATTTTCATAGGCACTTACAATTTGTTGCTTAAGTGGATAAAAAGAAAAGCTTCACAGTCTTTATGTGACACCTTGTTCTTATCCATGCACAAGGCAAGCATACAAAACAACTCAACTTCAACTCACCCACTCAAAACATGTGTTATGGTTACTTTTTGCTTGTGTTTTGTTGTCTCTACAGTCCCTCACTGCTGATCCTTTAGATCTCTGGTTACTCTGGTGGGTAGGAGACTAAACTTTACAGGATAATAAAGTGCTTGTTAAGAGGCTATTGTACAGGAAAGGAACATCTTCAAGTCAGAATTTCTTTTGGTATCGAGAACGGTTGTGAGCTG